ACACAGGGAGGTGGGCAGGTGGGGGCCCCAGCCTCCCCGGCTCTGGAGCATCAGGGCTGGTGCTGATGGACAGCAACACTCTGCCCCCGGTTCGCCTGCAATAGGTGCTGTGTGGGCGGAGAATGGGTGGGCCAGGCCCCTCCCCTCCCTTTCTCACCACAGCAGGTGTTGTCTGGGTTCCATACGTGTGTTTATTTTCACGAAAATAGTCTCACCCCCGACACTCATTTAGTGCTAAATATATAATGGTCCTGTCTCTCTGCAGCTGGCCAGCCACCTGCCACAAGCTCCCAGCTGCTCGACAATCAACTCAGAGCACACAACAAGAGGGACGGGTTTCAACCTTGCGTAAAATTTGGAAAGTCATTTCAACTGGGACTTTCAACTGGCTTTATTGGGACCTCTTTGCTAAATCTGCAGTAAGGGAGATTCAGGTGAGGTACAAGCTGAACCTCTCTAATCCGGCACCCTCAGGACCTGACGGGTGCCAAACCAGAGAATTTGCCGGACCACGGGAGGTCAATATTGTCTAGAGCATCATCAATATGTCCACTGTTTGCTGGGGTGTGAGAAGACATTGTGGGGTAAATTAGAGCTAACGAACAGCACACAATACAAAGTCAAGACTGGTGGCTGCAAAAAAACCTTATGGGACTGCGGGAAAGTTGGTCACACCCAGGATATGTGCACATACAGCTACCTACAATCACGCCGGACTAGAGAGGTTGCTGGACCAGAGAGTGCCGGATTAGAGAGGTTCAACCTCCATTAGGAGAAGTCTCCTGACTCCACAGTAGCTGAGCACTGGGGCAGGTTACCAAGGGAGGTTGTGGGATCCCCCATCCCCAGTGGTGTTTAAGAACAGGCTGCATGTTTCTATGATTCTAATACCAGCCCCTCGCTTACATCGGATGCCGTAGGATCAGAAGTGTCTGCAGACGTGTAGCTAATTCCTGCCCTTTGGTGCAGGGAGTCGTTATTCCCAGTCTGAGTGGCCCAAAGGAGGCTGCCGACCTGGCTCCTGTCAAACCGAAATGCCGCAGAGAAAGGAGAAATTCCCCCGTCGGGTTTCCATCCAGCTGAGCTGCAGGGCGTCAGTCTTAGACTGAGAAACCCAAGTTCTCCAGCCGGTCCTGGACAGGCAAAGCTCCTTGCAGGACTGGGGCCCTGCTCACCCCCAGGCTAGCTTAGAAGGGGGCTCGTGAGGCTGAGAAGGGGCAGGCCACAGCTGAGGGAACTGGGTGGCTAAGCAACCCCTGAAAGATAATGGAGCCAGCTGAGGAGGAACAGCAGGGCTGGGGGAAGCCAGGACACTGGCAGCAGAAGGCGTGGACATCAGAGAGGGAAGGAAGGAAACCCGGGGAGAGGGAGCAGGAAAAGGCTGAGGGGAAGGTTGAAGATGGAGCCCCCCCTTGGCTGCTGGTTAGTGGGTGGGCCCGGGCTCCCCTCCTGCCCAGGGGAAGTGACGTTGTCTGGGCAGCGAATGAACAGACTCCACAGAGCGTGTCCCAGGCAAAGACTCAGCTGTCTTGGAAGGGGGAACACAGTGGCCTGGCTGGAGGATGGAGCAGGCGTGGCGAGCACTGGGCAGCTCAGAGCGGGAAGGAGGCAGGCGGCGAGATGCTCAGCGAGAGGCAGACGGGAACCTGGGACCTGGACAGAGCGAATTCGCAGAGCAACCAGGAGGAGGCGCCTTGGCAGGGAGTGGGCCCCGGGACAGGCCCAGTTTAGGGTTCAAACAAGCCAAACGGTCACTAAGCCGGCAGCGCTTCCGCT